GTGATCCACCCGCCTCGGCCTTCCAAAGTGCTGGGATTACAGGCTTGAGCCACCGCGCCCGGCCGAGGACCAAGACTTTAAAAACTGTCTCTTGATGAGAGGAATAGCTCTTCGTGGATCGCTGTTATTTTCCATTTCTCTAATTGTGGTTACCTTAATAAAACCTTTGTACACAGGCATGCTTTAGCCTTGCTTCCTGCTGAGCTATGGAATTTTTTTCCTCCTCTTTCTTTTGTTATATTTTTATTAGTAACATCTTTATTCATTAACTACATAATCTAACAAATCCTTTTATAATTTTTTAAATTATTCAGCAAGTATTCTTGCTACTACAATCTGCATCACAGCCAAGCACTATTGTACATTCCCTCATTCACACTTCACCTCAACACTGAGAAGTAGAAATAGTTCTTCCATTTAACAGAGGAGGAAACTGAGGCTCAGAGAGGCTAACTAACTTGCCTAGGGTAACGCAATTAGTAAGGGACAGCCAGGCGTATGGTGCCAAAGCACAAAGATGTGTGGCTATTACTGTTAACCCTTCAAAGTTCTTCTTTGTTGTCGTTGTTGTTCTCCTTTTTTCTTTCTCCCTACAGTGTTCGGCAGGACCTTCAAAGTTCTTAGGCTGGCATATAGCTTGAAATGCTTCTCCTGTATGCATTTAGTTTGATTTAATCGTCTTATATCTATTTTAGGTGTTGCTTTTAAGCACATTCCAAGAATCCCATTTTATGTTAAATTGTGACCAAGAAAGACTATATCCATCCACATAAAACCTAACTTAAACAATAAAATACAATTTAAAAAAGAAAGTATTCCTGTTCTGCAATATAAATTATCAAGCATGTACCTACCCTTCTCTGAGAGGTACTTGAAAGTTTGAAAAAGGCTTGGCTGGGCGCAGTGACTCATGCCTGTAATCCCAGCACTTTGGGAGGCTGAGGCGGGTGGATCACCTGAGGTCAGGAGTTCGAGAGGTCGTGGATCACCTGAAGTCATGGATCATGATCTCTACTAAAAATACAAAATTAGCCGGGCGCGGTGGCTCAAGCCTGTAATCCCAGCACTTTGGGAGGCCGAGGTGGGTGGATCACAAGGTCAAGAGATCGAGACCATCCTGGTCAACATGGTGAAACCCCGT